TCGTCCACGCGCCAAGGGGAGAGGGCGTCGGCGCGGGCATTTTGGAAGCTATTTTTTTGACAGTGACTTGTAAGTGATTGGAGCAGTGTCATGTGGTCAGTCAGTGTACAGTGATAAGCAGGTTACATTTATCTGTTTATATAAGAGAAACTGATACGTGACGTGTGAAGTGAAACGTGATTTTTGGTGATTTTTATAAAACTTTGCTGTAGTAAGTGGTTGGTAAGTACTGGAAGCGGGTAACGTGTATTATATATATATATATATATATATATATATATATATATATATATATATATATATATATATATATATATATATATATATATTATATATATATATATATATATATATATATATATATATTATATATATATATATATATATATATATATATATATATATATATATATATATATATGTATATATATTATATATATATGTATATATATGTATATATATCATTATATATATATGTATATATGTATGTATGTATGTATTATTCTTGTTATCCACGTATGAAACTAAAAATTAACTTCTCTCATCTAAAATGCACGGATTCGAGACAGATAGTGTAACATCTTTTTAATTTTTCCATCAATCTGACAATAATAAACTGAAATGCCAAAATAATGAAGTCAATAGTATGTGTCATTGTGTTTACCCTGAATTTTCCAAATATTCAATTGATATGGTAACTTGCTATGTTAACTTTCATTGATGTTATCATTATCAATCTATAGCGAGTTTTTGTATTGAACTTCATTATAATAGATTTGTAGTGTGCATGTGGGTGTGGTTGTGATTGTGGGTGCAGCTGTGGTTGTGGGTGCAGCTTTGGGTGTGGGTGTGCGTGCGTGTGGTGCGTGCGTGCGTGCGTGCGTGCGTGATTGCGTGAGTGTGAGTCGGCGCGAGTACTTGGAACTGATTATACGTAATATTAATGGAGTGGTATTTCCACATCAAGCTCATACGTCACACATGACGTCACGTCCCTACTTGATACTGCATCATGATATATAAGGAGTTTATATAGAAGCATAATGCTGTACAAACGGAAAGCTGTTTAGCATTGGTCAGTATGATTAATGGAATACCCATAACTTGCAGTTTATTTTCTTATTATTTTAAATCTATTAGTTACCCCTGTTGACAACAACAAAGACAGTATGTAGCTTTCTAAAATATGATTGGTTACGGTGCGAGAATCAGATACTGTTTACTGAACGTATTTACATCTGTACTCTAAAAAAGACATCACACTGGTTGAGTTTCAGATACAAATAAGGCAAGCCAATATATACCTATTTATACTTCTAATGTCTAGAAAATCCATGACCTTGTACAAAGGAAGAGAAATGGCAACTCAAAGTGCGGCCAAACTTGAATGTTCTTTTCTTTATTCTTCTAAATTTACTACCAAGGGTCATGGGAATAAAACACCGAGAAATAAACCAGATGACCATAGATAAAATGAGAACATACATAAAAACGACAAAAAATAAGAAATAATGAGAACAAATACTGAAAATAAAAACAAAACTGGCAACTCAACTGTTGCCAAACTTCCTCCATTCTTAGATTTTTCTTCTTCCTCTAAATTTACATGGAAAACTTGTTACAAATACTATAAAAATGTAATAAAATACCACCCTATACCATGCATACCAAAGGATAACTCGACATCAGAGTATATATAGAGCTGAATAGAGAATTAGTGTATTGTTGCGCATAAGCGTGAGAGATCAGAGAATTTGGGCGGAGAGACAGTCATCGCCATGTTGAGAGGCGAGGACGAGTGTCTTCGTCTTTTCCCTTAATATCTCCCGCTCTTCGGGTCTGTAGGCGACTTAGTCCATTGCAAACGTTCGAGAATTCATCCTTTACTAGAGTGAGTATGTGGCCAGCGTGTGATATCTTTGGCAAATGGGTTTTTTTTGACGATTTTGAAAGATCACGGGGGTAACGGATACGGTGTTGCCATATCCTTTAGTAAGATTTCTTGTATTTTCTCTTTCTTTGTTTTTCTTGAGCTTGTTTTAGGGTTTGGAATGTAAAGACGATATAGTTGAACCCTGTGCTAGTGTTAGGGATAGTAAGAAGAAAAGAAAAAAAGGAAAATAGCAAATTCTACGGTAACTTGTACTGTGGTAACACCAACGACATTCTTTTGCCCTTATACTAACTGATGTTTATTGTTGTTGTCATTTGAGTATCCTGTCTAGTTCGTGTTTCAGCGTCACGTTTAACATCGTTATTTCGCTTACGTTTCTCTGGGGTTAATTCCACTGGCGTCCAGATGTTTTCTTGCCCAACAACACTCAGTCTGACACACATGCACGCACGCACGCATACATACGTACGTACGTACGTACGTACGTACGTACGTACGTACATACATACATACATACATACATACATACATACATACATACATACATACACACACACACACACACACACACACACACACACACACACACACACACACACACACACACACACACACACACACACACACACACACACACACACACATACACACACTCTCTCTCTCTCTCTCTCTTTCTTTCTTTCACACACACACACACACACCATTTTTTAATTCAAAAATATGTTTTTATGTATATTATGAGACACAGAAAGAAAATATATCCGTAAAAGTTTGCATCGTAGATGAATCATGGCAAAATGTACTTTCATATAGCATATGTCATAAAAAAGATTATGCTTGATTGTCTTTATCTCTGTGGTTGACTATCTGCCACAACAGACAAATAATCACAGTTACCTCAGGCATGGCTTTTAATTAGGTACAGTCTTTCTGAATTTTCTTACAGGCAAGATAATGAAATATCCTTTCCGTCTTTCCAGAAATGATGACTAGTAAATGCATGGAGGCAAATCAAGGGTGAAGGCGGTATGCGTAAAGAATTTTAAGAGTTCTTGCATCCCCGGAACTCCAGAAAGTGAAGCCAGCTGTCTTAAGCATGTGAAAGTAAATTTAGTGTATCACATATTTAAAAGCCGATTATTTGGAAGAACTTTTGAACTAATCTCTTACGTTTATACGCGATTTATATTATCTTGCTAGTGTGCTATTAGTGAGAGTTACTATATAAAAAGATATACATCTTAACGAGTGTCGCCTTTATAAAAGAAATACGTGTTTAAGAACTATAGATTAGCAAATACAATAAGTGTATAAAGAGCAAGAAAGAAAAGTATTTAAATATACATAAGTCGATACAAGTATATAAAGAGCAAGGAAGGAACACAATAGAAAGAAGCCAGGTAGATTTTTAGAAAGTGTTACATAATTAGTCAGAATATCACTCTTAGAGATGGGTGATATGTCACACGATCAGCGAAGCCTTGCAAGGGAGGAGTATCGGTTGAATACTTTCGGAAGCAGTGACTTTGCTGCTGACAAGAAGAAGTTTGCTGAGGCAGGATTTTATTACACGAAGAAAGGAGATGACGTGAAATGCTTTGACTGCAAGTGGGAAGTGGATGCCAAGACCATCAGTCCGGCAGACGACATTGCAAGAATTCACAAAGAGAAGCGACCTAACTGCCCCTTTGCACAGGGCCTAAAGACCATTCCCAGGCCTAGTAGAAGTAAGACCTTTATATCCTACGATAGCCTGAGGTACGAGAAAGAGCGATTGGAGACTTTCATTGACTGGCCTGTGAAGTGGCTTGATCCAACTGAGTTGGCCAGTGATGGATTCTATTACTTGCGTACAGCCGACCACTGTGCTTGCGTGTTTTGCCGAGGCATAGTGGGTGCTTGGGAGGTGGGAGACACGCCAAGAGGAGAGCATCAGCGTCACTTCCCGCACTGTCCATTTATCAGGGGTCAACCAGTTGGCAATGTCCCTATTCATCATAGCAACATCTTAGCCTGTCTACCAAGCGTGGACTCCACGGTCCAGAGTAATAGTACCAGCACCCAGAGACGTGGCACAGATGAATGTGGAACGTCAAGGCACATGGCTGGTTCCTATCCAGAATGTCGTGAGTATAACCATATTGGTGCACTTTCTGTACATTTTAATATGAAATATATCAATAGTAGTTACTGAAATAGTAAAGAATAACTTTTTAATCCATCTGCTGGGTTATGCGCTGTCCACTGTAGTTTTAAGTGGAAACTTTGGTGTTCAGTCACCAAGAAGTCAATTAGTAGGCTTAGGGCCATGTCTGATTCCCTCTCTCCTTTAATTGCTTTCTTTTTGTAAAAGTTACATTGGACTTTGTATGTATGTCACACCAACTATGGTCACCAGGATAACCATGCTGTTCTTTCAGGTGGACCCCCCAATAAGCCTGACGTGTCATGGGAAGAGATTGGTCTCCGACAGTACACAGGGCCAAAACGCAAGGACTTCCTGACATGCGAGAGTCGACTGGAAAGCTTTGTCAGGTGGCCAGAACGTGTCACTCAGAAGCCAAGTGAGCTTGCAGATGCCGGGTTCTTTTATTGTGGTAAGTTCTGTTATTTTATTGCTCTTACATGATTAATCTCATTTGATTTCAATGGCATTTGATGGTAATAAAGTTGCTCATATAAGATTCCCATATAATTTAGATAAAGCATAGTTTATATTGTATCCCTAATCTGTCGATGAGGGATATGTACATATACATGGCGGGACCACTGTAAATTTATTTTAATTTTGTTTACTAATAAGTTGTTCCAGTGATGTCCTATTTCCAGGGAGGTTATTTCTTGGCCAACATGATCTCCCCTTATTTTCCCATTTCTTGAATTTTCTACATTAGTTTTGAAAATGTGATAAGAGTGCACATGATACTGATGGTAATATGAATAATTAACATAAGAGTATCACCTTTTTTTTTTTATCACAAAAGTACAAGGAATGGGGTAAAGAAGTGAGGTCATGTACGCCTAGTTATTGTCTCCATGGTGTTTAAAGGTTTGTATAAAGTAAAATGATAAACCAAAATTACAGAAGAGTGTATTTCCCCAAATGCCATTGTTGTTATTTATAGATGACTTTGATAAAACAAACACATGCCTACACACACGTATGCACAAGGAAAAACGAAGTAAAGCAAAATTCACTTAACCCCAAATTCCCTCACAGGCTTAAGTGACCATGTCCGTTGCTTCCACTGTGGGAATGGACTTCGTAACTGGGAGAAAGATGACATACCCTGGAATGAGCATGCACGCTGGTACCCAGAGTGTAGCTATGTTCTCTTAAAGAAGGGACAGGAATTTATTGACAAAGTAAGATAGATAGATTGATATATATATATATATATATATATATATATATATATATATATATATATATATATATATATGATATAAGTGGTTAGAATTATCTAATTGATTTATGGCAAATAAAAAAGTAGATTTTAGTCCTTCTTTGAATTAAAAAGAAAAAGAAAAAATGCATTGAGAGGACTAGTCCCAAAATTTTTTCTTTCAGTATATAAAACATTTCTCCATTTTTCAGGTTCGCCGTGAGAAACCACCATACATCCGCAAAGCCCCCGCAGCAAAGCCAAGTACTAGCACAGCCTCAACAAGTGCTGCACCAGGAGGTCGCACAGTCTCCGACAAAGATTTGGATCCTCTGATGGATTTAGATATCATAAGAGGAGTATTGGGCATGGGATTCCCAACACACATTGTAAGAGCTGCTCTGAAGGACCAAGTTCAAAAGGCTGGCATGCCATTTTTCAGCATGGAGCCCTGTATTGAGGCCGTCCTTCAGAAGATGGAAGAAGAGACAAGACAGACACTACAGTCTGACCCTATTGAGAGTGAAGCAACAGAAAGCCAGGTCGCCAAGATTCAGTCAATCCATTCTAGCAATGACACTGCCCAAAATAGTGAAGCAGCTAGTTCCAGTTCTCCATCCACTTCTGGTGCACAAGCATCAGCTGTCTCAGAAGTATCCACTTCTTCAGGCTCTGAAGATATCACTGGAACTCTACCCACTCTGCCAACCCCATCCACATCATCTGCCAACACAGAACACTTACCCACACTGCCAAGTCCACCTAGAAGTACAGATACTTCAACACCTGCCTCAGGACAACAAGAAACTTCACAAGAAAATTCAGCAACAGCACAAAATACAAGCTCTTCTTCACCCCAGCCAAGCCAAGGAGACGAGGAGGCAATGGAAGTTGATGAAAGAGGTGCAAATGTCCATCCCATGGAGCGAGTTATCATGCAAGCTGATGAGATAATGAGTATGGCAGAGGAAGCCTTAAAGCCACCGAGTTCAGGTCCTCCTTCCCTGGGCCAGTCTGACCTTAAAGTTGTTGGTGAAGGTGAGGGCTCTGCAGTGATGGAGCAAGCATCGACCTCTGGAGTGAAACACCAATCTGGAGCAGTTACTTCACCACAGTCCAGTAAGTGCATATTACTTTTTGAATGATAAGTTTTTCACAGATATTTTTGGCCTTACAAGGTCTTACAGTATGTTTATAAAACTAGTCTCAGGTAATGAAATTTGATGAATAAGGCTTTATTCTTACATATTTTTCCACAACTGTAGAGAGGAATAATATAATAGATAATGCCATTTGAAGTAACATTTGTCCTTTTTTCTTTTACAGCTAAGGAATTGGCAGAGGAGCTCGAAAGAATACGTGACATTCGCATGTGCAAAGTCTGTATGGATGCCGAGATGGATGTTGTGTTCCTGCCCTGTGCACATATGGTTACTTGTGCTTCTTGTGCAGTCGCTCTTACTCAGTGCCCCATCTGTAGGAATGACATCAAATTCACCATCAAACCTATTGTCTCCTGAAGTTGAAAAAATGGAATCAACGTTGTGTGTTGGTGTGTGTAATAATGGAATGTATAAAATATTTTAAAGATTGATTCCTCTGCACATAGTATTCAGACATAGGTTTAGATTGATTTTTTCATAATAAGATATTGAGTTTCACGGCTACTTTTTTTAAAGCAACTTTAAGTTCCTCCCATATTCATTTCATGATTTGGGGAATAAAAGCATGCATATGCATGTATATGTTTCTATGTACAAACAGACAAATATAATGTATTATATCTGAATACATGTATATAATCAGATTTGAAATTAACTGCTCATTTAAAGCACACTTAAGTTGTGACTTGACTTTATTTTAGCTTGCAGAGCTTTAACGTATACTCTTCAATGCAATGTAACGTTCAAAATGTATTACTACTTGTGAAAGCTACACGTCGTAATTAAAGAGCCTCTATAAGTAGAATTATCTGTTTTCCCTCAGGAAAATTTGATATTTATTCCATGAGTAAAATCACCGAATAAGGCCGAAACATGTCCATATAAAGTGTGTTTGTATTTATTTTCTGCTATCAGTTTTATCCTGCTGCTCAAGCCTATATATCTCGGATGCAGATGGCATTAAGAACGCGTCAAGTACATTATTAAGAGACATTCAGTCTCTGTTCAATGGTGCTAGATGGTTGTGACTTGATTTAATGGCACTAAAAATGCATGACCAGAGAATGCCGACCCTCTTTATAGTGGATCCATGTAGAAGTTTTCTTAGACGAGACGATTCTTAGTCTCGATATCCCGTTTTCACCTTTATAAGATACAAGAAGTTGCGGCCTATGTGTTACGCATCAGAGAAAAAAATACAAGGGTTTAAATATAATCTACAGGACTCGAATGCACATTTTATATATATATATATATATATATATATATATATATATATATATATATATATATATATATGTATATATATAATCCACACACATAATTACTGAAATTCGAAGAAATACATTATATCTCCCTACCGCGTTATCCAGAGGTTTAGAATGCATGTAAAGTGGAGGACAAAAGTCATGTCATGAACTGAAGCTTTGAATCAAAGGTTTTGACAGACTATCCAACAAACATGCTATGGCTGATCAGCAAGAATAACTCGGTAGTCTGATGGTGATATTACATGGTTATCATCATACACCCATAAAAAAGGTTCCTACAGTGTTAATACTAATGATTCATGCTCTTAATAATTACATATGATTTTGATTTTTGAAATCAGACTTCGAGAGATAAAAGGTCCATTGCAACAGACGTAAAGCACCCGAGGATACCAGCCACGTGAGTTCTTAATAGTTTTATCCTGTACATTCACGAAGAGATGTAACAGTGCTGTCATTTCTCCTATAACAAACATGAGTAAAAGGCCCAAGGGTCTAAACGGAACACTAACTTATAATAGTGCTATATGACTTACTTTTGCTTCGTAACGTGTAACCTTTCGCAAATGTAAGGCCTGCTCATTAGGAGTGATTAGGAGATTAGTATACTGACTTTCCTTGCAAGTTTACACTCGCTCACAAAATGTATGCTTTCACCTGGTATTTTGATAAGGAACAGCTCGAGTGATGTATAGAAACCTTAATACAACTGTAAGTGCTATCACGATTTTTTTTATATCTAGCACATTGATTTGTTATAACCATAACCATAAATACACCTGTAAGCCCAGTAGATGATTATGTATAGTTGAGTGTAGTCCAGACTCCATAGGGTAAACAGGATGACGGCTGTGAAAACAATTTCTGTGGAGTCATTAAAGGGGTATTATACTTTGGTGATTAGTGGGTTGGTTTTCTCGGGAACTGGTCATTAGTTTGCTAATTACGGTAGAGGCGATTTTTCATTACCATTTATCAGGGAAATCTGGGTAAATCCCCGTTGTGGGAGATGTGATAGCACTGAATTGTATGTTTGTACACATGTTATACTTGGCCTACAGAGGCTTTCAAATAATTTTTAATAAATGCAATCACCTAAACACGTCTTTCTTTAAGAACCCTTTAGCACACACACTTAAATGTATGGCAGTAAGTGCGTGTGGTTGCGTGCGTGCATGTAAAGAGGTAATTCATAATTTCGGGCAACAAATAAATGTTCTTATGGACATGAAAAAATCCCATATTATCAAATGGCATTAATACTGTATATTTACTTCTAAGTTGCTTCTCGACTAACAAGAGAAAGTCTGCAATCAGTAAAATTATTTAAAAAAACAAAACTTTAAAATGTATGTATATAACACTGCGTTCAATAATATGGACAAAGAGAGTAGTCGACGTCGATCAATGGCGTAAGTGACGAACCTATTTTGACGCTTACCTGGTCTACCTGTGATTCACCTTTATTGATTACCTTTTAATCAGAGGGAAAGGTAGAGTTGTCGAGTCTCCCCACCATGCTTAATTCCAGTGTCAATTTCTTTCCGAAAATAACTTTCAAATCTTAAATAGCGAATGATATTTACAGTATTTAAATCTCTTATCGTGTTCTTTGAATCATTAACTTTTGTTGGCTTTAGGGCAGACAGGTGATAATTAAATGCATGGGATCATATAAAAGCTGTTGCAGAGCTTAGACGATGAGATATAAGTATCATAAACTCAAAGTTCTAATCAAGCTATATAATTTTTTTGAATGCCTAATATCAAAAATGTTTGTCACTTCTGATGACAATCCGTAATACGTGAAAAATTCAATTATTTCGCAGGAAATATAAACAAAATCAGACCGAAACAGTCGAAGGACTCTTGTTTCGATTAGCAAGTCTTTCATGGAATTTGAAAAACCTTCCTCGTTATCATCATATTTGCCCCAACGGAGAGAGACCGACCTTCGCAAACAGGAACACAGAAAGAAGAAAGCTATGTGAAATGAGGTTTGCTTTCCAGACTGGCGTAAAATAGGCAGTTCCCGATGGAGGAGGAACTCGGCGACAGACCGACTGGCATCTCTTCCACAGAGAGAACGTCATACATAGGCAATAATGCAAATACGACAACAAAGGAAAATCTCAGAGCAATCTTTAATATTGATTCTGCTGCAGTACACGTAGAAAATAGGCAATTGTATCAAATGCAAACACAACACAGACGTAATAAGTGTTGCATACACTTAAGATTGCTGAAGTATAATGAATGGAAAGATGTTTGTTCGTTAACATCTGT